GCGATTTACAAGGCTTCGCTGAGAGAGCGAAACAGAAGGCGGTATTAAATTGCCGTTTGAAACGAAACGATCTGGACTTCCCTCATGATTTGAAGTTTGAGACTGGTTTTCTGTTGAAATTCGTCCTAATTTGTCTGTTCCGATTTTAGTTGAAAATGAGCACTTGCAAATTTGGCAATTACTGACTGCATTGCTTGCTTTTTTGGAGTTAAAACGCAGCCATTTACACATTGTTTATTAGTGTTCTGAATAAGCAGAGAAAACCCCGCAACATTTTAATGCGAGTTTGTTTGTTAATATTTGGGTTGCTGTCATTGGTTCTTTTTTGACAATTGACGCGCGAATGGGGCGTGTTATGAAAAGGGGCGTTTTACAAAATACCGGGCGATGGTTGCAGGCCCACTATCAGTTCCCTTGGGCCTGCACGCAGGCTATGAGAGCGACTAAAGCTACACAAGCGTTTTGTCGTTATCGGAAAATGTATGGCTTATAAGTTGTCATTACTCATTAGTGAATGCGCGTATTCATGAACTGTCTTTTACAGTTTCAATATTAGTTTGTAAATCTCTGAATGGTAAAACTTGCCAATACTCCAATAATACATTTCAAAAAAGACAAAAAAGCTTTAGTTTTGCAAAGTTAAATTCTCAAACGTGTAAAGGCCCACACAGACCGGACGAGATTCGGCAACGCGACGCGAATTTTCAGTTTTCAAAAACAAATAAAACCGTCAACGGATAAAAATTTTACAAGGTATGCAGACCAAAATAATAAAATTGCTAAGTGGTCCCGAATATTTGGAAAACAATGAAAAATATTAAAGTTAAATGTCATCATTGAACTGAAAATTTGCGTCGCGTTGCCAAATAGCGTCCGATCTGTATGGACCTTAAGGCACTAATAAGATGAAAGTATCACGAAATTATTCGAATAAACCACATCGCATATATGGGGGCGAATATCCTAAAGGGGGGCGATATTCCTGGGACATTGGGGGGGGGCATATTCCAAGGATATTCGTCCCCCGGGGCAGTATTTCTAGGAATATCGCCCCCTTTTGAGAGGGGGGGATAAAAATCCTGTGACAACGGCATGGGCAAAAATCTATCTTGCCCCCCCCCCAAATATGAGTTTGCCCCTCCGGCAAATGCCCCCCCCCCCCAAATTCTGAGGCCTGGCGCCGCCACTGATCACACTGATACGTTACACAGCCTGTAACTTTAGACAACTATCTCGTTATTCACTTTATTTTTTTGTCTAGCTTGTATAATTAAAATTTACCCTTTTTCGAATCTCAAAATGACTTCTGTAGGACCTGAAACGCAATGGTACATTACACTGCATGTAGTCTTTCCACTAGGCCACTTGGTCGTTTTTGAAAACCTATCACAACTTGTTCACCTTATATTAGTTTTCTCAAGCTTTTCTAAAACTACGTCTGTAGGACCTGAACCACAGTGGTACAATACACAGCCTGTAGTTTTTTACCTCTAGACCCCATGCATGTGCATGTTGTTGGTAGCAACATATTCACCTTATTTTCAGCATCTCTAGCTTGTCATAATTAAAATTCAAAATTACTTCTTGTCGTACCTAAACGTCAATGGTACATTACACCGCATGTAGTGTTTAACACTAGACCACTTGCTCGTTGTTGAAAGCCCATCGCAACCTCCACAGCCACAGGCGCATAACTTTTCTAATTTCGTAGACTGCATGTCAGTAGACATATCATGTAAACATGGTCACCATTAAAAGATTGTTTTATAATTTACCTTGGTTGACAACTTCTACCAACAAGAATATGAGATGTATTATGGACATTCTAATTTTGAGAACGACTATATATCTTGGTTGTATTGTTTATTGCCACGCCAGCGAAAACCAAATCACTATTTAAATATTGTATCAAAATACAATCCCAGCCAATGACGGTAGTAAAGTCTATCTAGGCCTACAATAATTGTGAGTCTATCGGTCAATATCGATCCGATCGACGTTATCTGGGGTGGGTGGGTGAAATACTATGAATAACGTCGATTCGACGTTATTTGTGGGAACATGAATATGGACGTGGCCCCTTATTTATGCTGTGCTATTGATGATTTGGTAGGCTAATGTTGGACCTGCACAACATATTCTCCATGACCATGTCATATTCTCTGACTATATGTCATCTGTGAAATTTTGCTCATTACTTTGGTTATCATGAGGAGGTTATCAACGGCTATGCTCTTCATTAATTATAATTATTAATGTATAATGGATGATGGTTATGTCCGTGAAGAATATTGGAAACTGTTACTAGTTCTCTTGAAACATTCTCTATCCAAAAAGAAACATTTTTCAACCCAGAATACAATACTAACATAAAACACAGTGGAAATATGATGGAACACCATATATCACATTATTTCACAATGATACTTATCCCAAGCCCTGTGTGTACTATTTATATATTTGAAGTAGAACTGTATACGATCATATAATTAATAATATATACTGTAGACTAAACTAAATATAATTAAAGTACTTGCCAGGAGATATATCTTTAATTTCTGATTTGTATGTACAGTATTATGTTACTCTTTGCCAAAATGTCAAGGTTATATAATAAGGTGCTGTATCACGCCTCATCAAGTTCCTACATCATGCATCCCAAGCAATTCTGTTGTTGCCCTTCCCCTTTACCGACGGAGCGAACGCCTTGAGCAGGCGTCTTGTTTATTCTAAACTGCATTCACTTATGGCGTAATCCATCAAATCACCTAGCTAGTGCGGACGAAAAATTAAGAAGTCCACCAAATATTAAGCTGTATATTTTGTTCAGCTCTAGCTACAAAAGAGACGTAGAGTAAGGTTCACATGCTGGCACAAGTGCAACTTGTAACTTGTAACTTGTTTTAGCGTACTTAAAAAACGGAGTTAGGGTAAAACGCTGATACGGACGGACGGATGAACTCTTTCTGTAAAATAGGTAAAACGCGGATATGGTGTAAAATATACTTTTCGGGTCTTTAAAAGGCATATCCGCGTTTTATCCAATCGGGTAAACGCGGATGGTGTAAAATATGCTGTAAAGTAATTCGCTGGCGAGTCCTTTGCGATTAAACATAGACTTTGGTATGGCCATCAGCGTGAGAGGCATGGGGGAAGGGGGGGGGGATGTTCACCAATTTGTCCCGGGGCCCGTGGTTGGCTCTCGCCGGCCTTGCTATGACTATATGGAGTAGTCTTTTATAGAACAGTTTATTTCGTTAGTCACAAAAATACAAAAGGATGATTTAAAATACGTTTATTATATAAACATAAGTGTTATATAGAGTTTTTGGCCATTGAGAAAAATCGTATTTAAACACACGTAAAAAATACGATATTTTTACGTGAGAAAATATCATTTGTTGTAAAACGCATTGCCACGGACGTTTTATTGTTTTTCACTGAATTTTGTTTATATAATAAACAGAAAAATACATGGGTGCTTGGAAATATACCAGATTTATTTCTCGTGTTGAACTTGATATCTCACTCGTTCGCTGCGCTCACTCGTGAGATATCATGTTCAACACTCGAAATAAATCTGGTATTTCCGCGCAGCCATGTATTATTCTCTATATTGTGCATATAATACATATGTACACCAATAAAAATGTTATCGATCTTTGGAGTTTCACTTGTTTTTTATATTGTACATATGTACAATATAGTATTTTTAAATAATAAATTCGTGACAAGGAATTAGCCTAAAAACTGCATGGGATCGGTTGTTCGAAAGCCGATTAGCTTAACCCTAGGTTAAGCTAAAATTCAAAGCAAACTTGCTAACAGCTTGTTTATAAATTTGAAAATATTTTTTGGGAAATCTTGTCTTGATCAGTAGGAGTTTTCGTCTCTGAAGTTTTGAAATAAACAAACGTGTAGAAATACATAAACTAAGACAGCGGGTTAAATTTTAACCCAGGGTTAGCGCTGATCCAGCTTTGAACAACCGGCCCCGGAAGACTAGAGCTTATAACATTTAGGCTCCCTTCGAATTGTCAGGGCATTTTGAGCTCGCAATCAATACATATAGTTATTTACAAAAGTATTAGTTCATGTCTCTGTATGTATTTCAAACGGGCATAAGTATTGACGTATAATTTAAATTTAAGTGCAGTATTTTTTAGTAGTAACGTTTTTAATTGTGATTTCAATTTTCAAAAACTCATTAATAATTCATGAGAAAAACACAATACTTACACAACGTTTTGAAAATTACTTCGCCAATGAACTTACTAGATCGATCCAGTTTTTTGCGGGTAGGCATTATCAATTGTACGCACAAATTTCTTTTGTATAAGAATCAATCCTATTCAAATTTGTTATATATGTTGATACACTATATTTAACATAATAACCAATGCATAGTAAAGTTCTGGCAATGATCGATCGTTTTGGTAAATACCAGCTGATTTAGCAATTTTGGTTGCCAGATATAGCTGATATGTCGTTTCCAAGATAAATGTTGATCAAAAACTGCTCGCAAGAGTGACGTCTGGTTACTTCTTCTATTTGAGTACTGTCAATATTAGCTCAATCAATACGCACATTAGTGTTATTGATATTTAGAGAAAGTTAATTAGCTCTAAACCACAATGAAATTTTATTTAATTCAGAGTTGGCCACATCGGCAATTTCTATGGATCTTTATTAGAAATTAAAATACTATTATCTCAGCAAAAGAAAATCTATTCCCCAGAGGGTGCCACGAAATTGGTTTTCTTGGCACTTTTTGAGACCACTGCCTAAAAGCCTGATTCCACGAGCGCTTTTTCTTAGCGAAATGCGAAAATTTTCGCGCAAAATAATTGTACGCATGCGTGATGAAGACAAATAAGGTTTCGCGAGAAAAAAATTCGCTTCGCCAGTGAGTAGAAGTTCAGTCTACTCACTGCGAAAGTGAAAAGTAGGGAACCAATCAAATCACGGCAATTTATCCAACATCATGTTTTTCAAACAAAATGGCGGACTCGCAAAGGAGCGATGTATTTGTTCTGGAGTCGGAATCACAACTTTTCAACCGTATTATCAGCCAAGAATTAAACGAACGCGATTCAGATGATGAACAGAGTAGTTTGCAAAGCCAGCAAATGATGCAGGGCGACCAAACGATGAATACTTCCGCGTCATCCGAAGCCCAAGGTGTGCCTATAAACAATTTAATTCTTTATATAAGCTTAATAGCTTATGGACGCTGATCCACGCTGGATCAAGCTCACCATATTTACTCCTATTACAAATTTCATATTAGATATTTTACAAAGGTAAAATAGAATTGTGTTGTTGGTAAAATTTCTAACAGGCATAGCTATTTGTTATAAAAGTATTACAAACTGAAGAGAATTCCCCTATCAAGAAAAGTTATTAAATATAAACAAGAAGGGCACAAACCTTTGTATAGGCATTGTATGATAGTATGTAAAATGTAAACAACGCAAAGATTTATTCTTACAATACAAACGTTGGCGTCGAAAATACTGATAAACAATAATTATTAATATATTGTATTAATGCATGTCTGTTTCTATAGATGTAAATTCAATTGATGTGCTGGAGGTGATTGTAAATGAAGTGCAGGCGCATCCAATACTGTGGAGTAGACAAAATCCAGATTATAAACGGTCAGACAAGAAGCGAATTGTTTGGAGTGCTATTGCTCAAAAAGTAGGGCTGGAAGGTAATGATCTTTCAAAACGTTTGCAATGTATTTCAAAAAGCCTACTCTTGTATTTTACTGCAAAATATGTAACTATTTACCTAAAAAGTTTAAAAGGTTTACTCTGCCATCCAGTGAAGGGGGGGGGGGGGCTAATGTCACCTATTTAAATTTCACCTGGTAATTTAAAGCATATGGGATGTGAGGGTAGGGCTTGCCTGTATGTTTAGGGAAATGTTATCAATGCTATTCTTGTTGTTAAACTAAATGCTGTACTATGCCTACATGATACATTTTATTTATTTACAGTGGAGCAAGTGAAGTTAAAGTGGAAGAATTTATCAGATGGTTTCAAGAAATGCCTAGACAGGAAGAGAGATTTAGAAAAAAGTGGCAGTGGGTATTCAAAACAACCTACCTGTCGTTTTTACAACCAGTTGCTGTTTCTAAGAGATTCTATCGGCAACAGAACTACCCAAAGCAATGTTCAGGTGAGGTCTATTTCACCTGCTACCCCATCCCCCTCTGAAAAAGCTCTACCTGAACCATCAACACATGTCGAGTCAAATCCTGGCAATAAAGCTTCTCAACAAAATCAGCAACAGGCAGTACCCCCCACAGCACAACCACCAGCCAAAGAAAAGCTCCAATTTCCACAAGCAACTGTTATCCCAAAAAAGAAAAAGAAAGTTGTACTTGATCCAGTTGAAGAATATTTTATAAAATCAATTGAAAAAAATGAGGAAGAAAATAAGTTAGTGCCAGCAAAAAAAGAAGATGTAGATGAGCAATTTTGTCAAAGTATTACCCATACATTACGGCGACTTGGAGAGCAATCAGTGAAGAAAAACCAACTGGCAAAAATAAAAATTCAGCAGTTGCTCTTTGATATTGAGTTTGATGACTGAACACATCACTTATATGATTGTGTTATGTTTCAATAGGTAAAATCTGCGGTACTTTTAAATAACCTTCTTTTAAGAGTGAATCCCAAATAGCACAGGTGGGTTCTTCAACAATGGATAGATAGTTTAGATAGATAGATAGTTTTATTAAATGATAGTTACATTGCAGGTACTACTGAATTGCGTAACTTTACAATTATATAAAAGTCGTTCAATATAGATATAATAATACATAAGAATACTAAAATTTATCTTAATTTACGATTATGTACAGTTAAACTACTAACTATATACAAGTATTGAAATCACCATTTCACTATATGTCATCATAAAGCTTACTACTATGCATTATGAATGACTGAGCATAGCGTTTGGTCTTTGCAGTTGGAATATTAAAAGTTCTACGTTTCCTAAAATAATATTTGGCATTGTTATTTCTCTGCGGTAGTAGAGCATGCAGTTTGTTTTTAGAGTCACTTACAATTGACCTAAAGAGTGATTTAGATAAAGATTCGTGGTGATCATGTATAGATGCTAGGCCAGCGAGCGATAGGGCATCTTCGTAACGCCTTCCTGGGTAGATGCAGGCTAGTGCTCTTTTCTGGATCCTCTCCAGATCTTCTTGGAGATATTTTGGAAGTGAGTAGTGGAATACAGGGCATGCGTAATCGATTGCAGAACGGATACATGCACAGTAATAGGCGACTATTTTGCGACTGATTGTTGTATGTCCAATGCGATAACTTGCAGCTATACTAACATATCCATTACCTGTTGCCAAATAACGCAAAGTGACACACAGTCTTCCTGCAGGAAATATAACAACTACTCTAGTGTTTGCTTTAGTTATTTTTGGTGCAACCGGGGCTAAAAGTTTTTCAAATTGAGTTGGCATCAATCTAAACATTTTGAAAAACAGCTCCCGGTCTACTAACATAAGCTCTTTGACCAAGCAATGAAACTCGCCTTTATCTTCACGTTCTTGAAAGACTTCACGGACCCAAAATCGTTTTTTGTATTTCATCAAACGCTTCTTTTTTCGACGTTTATAAAGTAAAAGAAGCAATAAAAGTTGATTTTTATTCAGCGCCATCTTGAAAAATTTCTTTTCCCGATAAATGGACCTTTCCCCCTACAACTAAAATTTCGATCTAGACAAAAATTTCATCACAGCTTGAAAGAGCATCACAAAATTAGTAATATTCCAAAGTTTTGTTGCAAAATCTTGTAAAATGCGGATAATATAGCCCTGCGAATTGCCTATTAAGTTATTATACTCCCAAAAAAATGTGAAATTCACTTAAATTAGCATCGTTTATACCGTTAGAAAGAGCATAAAAAAGTACATATAAGACATTTAAACGAGTAATACGATTTATTTATCCAAATTCGTGTTATGAACACTTAAAAATAGGTAAAATGCGATGACGTCACAAATAAAGCTGTTTTGTAGCAACTTTAAGCGCCTGTAACTCAAAACAGGGTTATAAATTCACACTTCTCACTTAAATGTTCTATATCTACTTTTTCCCGAACTTTCTGATTATATAGGTGATTTTTGCTGAAAGTCGTTTTCAAATTTCACAGTTTAGTGAGTATAGCAATTTTAATAGGCAAAATTTTCAGATTCTCAAAATTTTTCACTTTAAAGTCAATATCAGAGGTGGCAACCTATCAAACGTTGTTCTCCAGTATCTAAGCTATACGAAAACGCCAGTTGCCAGCTTGTAACAAAAAATGCCATCAATGGCATTTTAGAGACACTTTTATTGAGGTTGGCTGGCCGTCTATAATGGCACACCTTTGGAATGCCTCAAAATTAATATTTAATATCTTGCATACAAGTAATGCACTGCCTTCTACTGCTTCAAAAAAGGGTTAGTTGGTCTTTAGATAATTGCTAAATGTCGTTCCAAAGTTCGAACTTATGACCGTTGTTATATCGTGAAACTTTGCTCCACCTTTTTTTATTCAATTACGTTTGGCACATGAGGCGATAAAGTACTACGGCTTGCACACGTTTTTAACATAACCTCTTGAAGTCACATGGGAATATCACGTCACCCTAACAATCGCGCAATTTTGAGTGAATATAGGACTGTATGCAATGGAAACTACTGTCTGAATTAGGCACAACATTGCCTTTCCGAATTCGTATTAATCAGAATAAATAAAAGCGATAAGCTGGGGCTCTACCGAAGTAAACGTGTGAGATTTTGACGGCTGATGGATGCCGTGAATGTTTTTATTTAGCTCTACACATCAATCTCGTTCCCCGAGCCTGCGATCCTCGGGAAGGAACGAGAGGCTCTGGGAGAATTCCGTTTCAGGGAGGAATCTGATAGGCCGTTGATATCGAATGCGCAGTTCGGCCTTAGCCAGGATTCCTGGCTTCCGGCAACGGATTATCCCAGAGCCTCACGTTCCTTCCCGAGGATCGCAGGCTCGGGGGACGAGATTGCTCTAAACATTTGCCACAAATTATGTATTGTGACGTCACTTGCAAGGACTGAATAGCCTGCCTACGATCTGTTCCATTGTAAAAGGAAGCTGTTCAAGCTGCATGAAAGGGAAGGTGTTCAAGCTGTTGATTTTGTATCCGAAAATGGATTTAAAAGTTTACGTCCACTTAACATTTTTGTGCGTTGTAATTGTAATGTCTATTTGCGCAGGTACTCCTGGTGATAGTCAATTTTTGGAAGTCCTCTGCAGATCTTAGAAATAAAGCATGCTATTTCATGATTATGGTGCTATGGTGCTTCGACTTCCTTGTGGTCATATTAACACATCACCTATTATAGAGATCCTTCACCTTAAAACTCTTTGCTTTGTAAACTGCAGCGTTTACAAAAAAGAGCTGCGCGCATTATCACTAAGTGTGAATATGGTGTCCGCTCCTGTGTTCTTCTACAACACCTAAACCTTAGCTTGACATTCTGGAGACTCGTAGGAACCAACAACTTGCTACACTAATTGTAAGTGCTCGCGTTGCGTGGACGTTCGTACGTTGTCGTGGCCTTTTTGGCGCGAAAGAACACAAAAAAAAGAACATGTTTAATACGAAAGGACAAGCCTTTTGTATTTTAAGATTTGTAAATTAAGATAAAGGCCGAGTCATCAACGTTGTTTACCCGGCCAAAACCAAGTAACCTAAAGATAAAACATGAATAAAGATTAATGAACATTTACAGTAAACAACGAGACTCACAAACGTGTATATTTCAAGTGTGAATATTTGTGAGTATGACACATTTTATACGGACAAGTCGATATATTTTGTGATTTACAAGAAGATATAAAGAATATAGTATGGCTATCGACCCAGGTGGTCATAAGACGGATGAAGTACGATCGAAAGTCTGCGAAAAAGACTTAGAAGAGAACATCTCGAAGGGAAAGAACAGCGAACAATTATTCGAAGACGAAGGTAATATTGATAAGTCCATTGTAATCAATACAGAAGACGATACGGGGAGTACTCGAAGCGTAGATGCAGAAGAACAACAGGCACGAATATGCACAAGAAAGGGCGTACAAGTAAACTTAGAAAATGCACGAAAAATGACGAAAAAGTCAGGTATGGCTGTAGAATCTCGTATAAATCGTATAGATGAATTACTTAGAGAACAGTGTTGTGATATTGTGAAGCTCACTGCTAGTAAAGATGGTCTACAAATGGATATGGATGACTTTAAGCGATTTAATGAAGAGTTATCGGATTTGTTATTATTGTCTTTGAGTGATTATAATTCTAACATTGAGGATCAAGTGTATTTTGAGGGTATTCGTGAGAAGTACTTAGAGTGCTGTGCTGATGTTAAAACTAGAATAGGTGATTTAACACAAGAGAGATTGGAGATGCTTTC